TCGCGCCCAGGGCACGGTAGTCCGACATCTGACGAGAGGCTACACTAGCGAGGCTGGCCACGGCGGGCGGCGCAAGCCTTATACGATCAATATTCTCGCCAGTGGCCTAGGTAACAGAACGCGCCGAGTGCGCTATCCAGCCGGGGTCACCACAAGCGAGGACGAATACGTGAGCAGGCGACGTGACACGACTCCAAGGACGCTTGGCTTGGGCCAGCACACGCACGGCATCCTCGAAAACGGCTTGCAGAATGGACGGCGCGGGGGTGCCGTCCCAGACTCCACGGGCCCACTGAAAAAAAAAACAACTTGCTGGAAAAACAAATGCACCGGGTCAATGCCGCGACCCAGTTTGAACGAGCGCAACTTGAGGCCTACCGAGGCTCCTTTCTTCAACGGGGCCAGCGAAAGCAGGGCCTGGCTACGGGGCCTGCGGAGGTAAGACCACGGGGGCCCTCGAACCGCACAGCCCCCAAGAGCGCTGGCCTGAGGCCCCGACCTATAGACGTGGCCAATCGAGGCCCCAGCTCCCCTGAGCCCACGGAGCCTGCACGAGCGCTGCACACCTACAGAAGCCCTCTTGGAGGCCACGGTGGCAAGACGATTTGGGCCAACCTGCCAATCAGCCCCAAGACTCCGCATCACCTCTCTGCGCTGAAAGGCCCCCTGCCAGCCACTCAGGAGCCCCATGGCCACATGTTTTGTCAAGGCAAGGAACTTGGACTTCTTCTCGGACAGCACCAGCCGCAACGACTTCAGCCCCTCGATGAGCTTGCTCCCTGCTGCGCCTAACTCAGAGATGACGTGGAAGCTGGTGCCGATGGCCTGGAGGCGTATGTCGTCGATGACATCTCTGACTTCAACCGATGGGTGCTGCATCGCGATGTTGACCAGCATGCGGTAAACCAGCGCTCGTGCCAAGGCGGTGGCCAGCGAGCACCCTGCCAAAATTGTGCCCGACCCAGGTAGAACTGACGAGCAACAGCCCATGTAACTGATGACGCGGGGCCCAGCATACAGCGCACACGCCGCTCTGAACGAACGCAGGGGAAACTCCATGACAGCTCCTTCTTCAAAGAAGACCGAACGACAAACACGTTCGCAAAAACTTCTCCAAGTCAGTAGCAAGAGTCGCCGCTTCGAGCTGTCGCGCTCTCGCATAGTGAACCAAAACTTGATGCACCCACCCAGCTCGGTCGCACCCTTTTTCTTTCTGGCCCCAGAAGACTGGCGAGGAGCGTGCCTCTTCCCATTCCTGAGCCAGGTCACGACGGATCTTCCCCCACGCCCGCAGGATCGAACCGATGAGCGCAATAGGTCGGACTCCTGACCCGCCGGGTTTGGAATGGAAAACAAGCACTGCCGGCCATCGTGGCGAAAGCGACGGAGCCGCCTCACATCCTATGATGATGTCGATGAGTCGCTCGACGTAGTCATCGCCCAGCATGTCGAACGATCGCGGGTTGAGACAATCAACGCCAAGGCCCACGGCGGCCTGGAACGAGCGCAGGGCAGCGCGCACACGTACAACTGAAGGCCTCTCCAGCTGTGCCAACCCGCCCTGCCCCCACTGCGACAGACTGAGCCCCTCCTTGGCATCGTCCCAAAACTCGGCCCAGGCATCGGCCACGTGGTGGACCGCTTGATCCCCTTGTAGCGGCCAGCCCCCCTGAGCAACAGGTCCAGCGGCACAGGCAGCATTCTTGATGTTACGATGAGCCGCCCGCCCTCCTTTCTTCACTGATGCCTGGGCCCACTCTCTCCACTGCTGAAGTTCCGACCTGACCGCCTGAGCCGAGGCCTCCTGTGCGGCGCGATCCACGCTCTCACACAAGATGTCTAAGCCGCCACCCCCAGCAAGGAGCGCCTCGCGAATAGCGTGATAATCAATGCAGCAAGGCTCTACCCCGACTAGCGCCGCCAGGTCGATCGCATCGGGCTGCTCAACTAGCTGATCGAAGACGGCAGCCGAGCCCTGGTGCGCCGAGCCTGGCAGGCCAGCCCGATGAAGCCCCTCCTGCAGGGAGCCGCTGAGGGTAGCGTCCCCCGCGGCTCGGGCCGACGGCCGCACCTGCCTGGGAAGGGGCGATCTCGTGACTGCGGCCCACTGGCCCAACCTGCCAGCCCGCTGCCCTCGCGCTGCCGTCGCGCAGGCGGAGCTGCGGCAGCTGACCGAAGGACGCGGCCTGCGTGTAGCCAGGCAGGCAGAAGCGCAGCTGCCCGAGCACCTGCTGGTCCGCCGCCGCGCTGTCCTGCGTGGGACCCGCAGCAGAATCCACCGACCCTGCGCGCAGCAGCCCCTGGGTCCTGCGCAGCAGCGCAGCAAGCGAACGCCATGTAGCCATCGTCGAACCATTCCCACTGTGCCTGAGCCTCATGAGCGAACCTGCCAGCTGGATGCGCCTCAAGCAGAACCCAGCCGCCCGACCTGTGCATGCAGCCTCGCCAAGGCCAACCAAATCGAACTTCGACCACAGCTCCTCTTCGACGTTGGTGAGCCATTCGCCCCAGACGCCTCCAGATCGCTCTCAATAGTAACCGTGCCACCAGCTTGCCACGACCAGGACACCCAACGAGGTTGCTGAGGGCACCCTGTAGGCAGCTCCGTGGGGGGGGGGGGGGGGCATTACATGTCTGACGCGCGTGGATGGGCAGACTGAGGGACGGGCCCCTTAGCTGCATCGCCACGGCGACATGCGGGGAGGAAGGCGGTCCACACAAAGCTCGGACATCTTTAACGCATGGCTCTAATCCCTGGCTGACACTGAAACAATCCAATCTTGTCCCAGCCGAAGTCGCGAAACAGCTGGGCCCTGGAAGGGGGCACCAGAGTAGCATGTAACAACTCCACCCACTTGCGCAGCCTGACATCCTCAGGCAACTTGTTGAAATCACCATCTATGATCCAGGGCGAGCGCATCCGTCGAAGAGCCGTGCCGAGCTCCTGCATCATATCCCAAAATGCTGAATGGTTGACCTGCTCAACGTGTCCGTACAGCGAGGCCAAGTAGAGCCCTCGGGGAAAGACCATGCTGGCCGTCAGGACCTTCAAGCGCGGGCGAAATCGGCTGGAAATGCCCATGGACTGGAGCCCAACTCCGACGAACGCGATGCGCGAAGCAACTGCAGTCACACATCCAGCAGACGGATCCGCCGCACCTCCACCAGTGACCGCTGCTCTTCCGGATGCTCCCTAGTAACCTCGAGCATTGAGCCACCTGAAAGCCGACGAGATACGAGCTGAATCCGCGAGCCTGTGCTCCTGACCGAACACGACGCGCGGCCGCGACGAGTCGCCCCAAGCGCGCTGCCAGTCGAGGCCGCACTGTCAGGACTTCCATGAGTTTGCATTGAGGGACCAGAACTGCCAAACATGACCTGCACGTTCTATCTTGCTAAAGCCGCCGACGCATGAGACCGAGTGCCTCAGCTGCCGCGGCCACCTTGCGCTTGCAGGCCTCCTGGTCTTCGGGCTTGGCCGCCCGCAGCTCCCCTGTGGCCTCGCGCAGTGCATCTGCCTTGGCCGCGTAGCCACTGGCCGACAACTCGTCCATGTCGACGTCGTCGTCACCAGCTGGCTGCGCGACATGGCCCTCGCCGTCACCTGCGGAGCCGCCTGCGCCGCCGCGAAGCACATCGGCCCGAGCAGGAGCAGGAGCAGCAGCGCGAAACAGGTCCCGCAAGACCTGAGCCCGGCCGTCGGCCTTGAACGAATTGTACCAATTCTGGAACTCTTCCTCCTTGGCCTGGACCGTGGCTGGGTCGAGCTCTAACGAAAAGGCAGGCACCCCTCCTGCCGACCCAACACCTGGGCCACCGCTGGCCTGAGCAAGGGTGTCATGTGCTTGCTTCCGCAAGTCCCGAAACCTGACCTCCGCTTCCTGCAACTGAGCTGTGCAAGCAGCGATGTCCTCGTCGAGCTGAAGCTGGACCTTGCGGAGCTCTTCCTGCTTCTTCTTGACATTACCCCGAAGCCCGTCCGCCGCAGACTTTGCCTTCGAGACCTTCTGATGCAACGTGACCTGTTGGAGCTCGGACGGCTTGGCCTGGTGCAGCTTGTTCTGCAACCGCGCCACCTCCTCCTTCGCGAATGCCTGCGCCGCCTCCGAGTTGGCGCTGCAGGCTGCAAGCTTGCGCCACGCCTCCAGGCTTTGCCTGGCCTCCTCCAGCTCCTTGTTGCCGTTGTCCGCGGGCTCCGACGCCGACGGCGGAGCAGGCCCCGAACCCTTCGCGCTGTCGGAGCCCTTCGCCCCCTGCAGCTGCACGAGCTGCCTCTGGATGTCCGCCAGCGCCTTGGCGAGGCCCTTGTCCGCAGCCGCAGCGCCCGAGCCAGCGCCGCCGCCGCCGCCACGCGGCCAGGCCTTGCCGCCGCCTGCGCCGCCAGCCGAGGAAGCCCCGCCAGCGACCGCCTGCTCATGCGCACGGCGGGCGGCCGCCGAAATGCGCTCAGGCGCCTTGGAGCCACAGCGGCGCACGACACGCGACGCCCAATTGCCGTCTCTGCCGCAGCGTCCACATCCCCATGTCGGGAGCCGAGGCCCCGGGAGAACCTCCTTGCGAGCATGACTCCCCATCACAAGCGTAGAAGGACGCAAAAGATGGGAACAGCCCCCAGTTCGGTGCCAGGGCGATACTGGGGGACGAGAAACGATGAAAACTGCTGGGGCCGTGAATCCCCCTCGCAGGAGGAGAAGGAAGAGAAGGAGGAGGAGGAGGAGGAGGAGGAGGTGAGGACCGCAGTGCTCTAGCCAAAACGAATACCCAACACAGGAGGGTTGGGAACAAAACACAGCAAACGCATATCGATTATTGAAATAGAAAGACACTTCAATTAGATTGGAATCTAGGAATCCAAAAATGCATACTTTCAACGAGCAGCGTGCACCTGCTCGTCATGATGACTCTGACCGCTGGCCTCTCGCCCCAGGAGGGCAACGATGATAGAAAGAGCAGGGGCACGCCTCTGGCACGGCCAAAGCCTTGGTGGAAGCAAGGATCATCTAATAACGAGCGAGGTCTCCTCCTGGCTCCCAATCAGCATTGAGACCACGTGCTGCCGCCCGAAAGAGAGAGAGAGAGAGAGAGAGGCCTGCGGCAAGCTCCCGCCTCGACGGCGTGGGTCCTGGCCTCTGCCACCGCGCGCGGACGGCCACCCCGATCTGGAGCGACCTCTGAGATGCAGACGGACGTACTACAGTCGAGGCGTTGACCTAAGGAACCCCAAATAAGGAACGAGGCCCCTTTTTGTGCATGCATTAAACTTCGACTCCCCATCGAAAACGTAAGGAAAACCTCAGGCAAGGTGTGGAACAATTAAGGAACACCGAGCTTCTTCCCAACGCAAAAGGTTCCTTCTTCAACGCCCCGACTGTAGTACGATGTGCCTCTGCCAGAGACGCACGTCCGACCCGAACAGATCGCACAAAACACCGCAGCACATGGCTCCGAGCGGCATGGCCCGAAAGCGCCCACCACGGAGCTCACACCGTGAGATCTCCGAGCGCCTGGGCCGCCCCTGCGTGGCCGACGCACACATGTCGCATAAGATGAAGGAGCCCCAGGACACACACACACATAAATACACACAAATAACAGCATTCCCCATATTTTCCCATATTTCCTGGGCTTCTGTCTTCCCCCCCACACTTCCCATATTTTCCAATATTTTTCTTGAAAATCGACGACTAATTGTGCCTGTGTGTTTCTTGCCCTCCTGACAAGAACGTCTGGGCGGTGCCGAACCATCTCCGTCGGGACATCCCGGAGGCCCTGCGGGGCCCTGGCGCCCAGACCTCCGACGCGCCCCGGCCTCCGACGCCACCACTCCTCGCGACGCGGGCCCGGGAGCCCCTTCGCGGCATGTTTTTTGCCGACACCCTACGGAAAAAAGAGGCGCCATCCCTGCCATCACCATGCTCTCGCTGCTCCCTGCTCCCGCCTATTTCTCCCCTCTTGCGTCGTCGTGGCCTCTCCCACTTCTGCCTCATCCTCGCCTTTCCCTGCCTCTCTCCTCGGGGCGGGACACGGGAGGGGTGGCCGGGCAGGACAGGCAGGGCGCCCGTTGCCCGAATCCCCGCCGGCACGACGCTCGCGCCGTGACGACCTGCGCGCGTCAGTTCTCCGGACACCGCGCGCATCGCTCGACGTCGGCCGACTCCTGTGGACGCCCGACAACGGGTACGGAACAAAAAAAAATAGGCACAATGCCCAACAACGGTAAACATAGTAGATGTTTCCATTTTTGTTTGAAGAGTTTCGGGTTATTGTTGTGGTCTTTTCTATTTTCCGTCGGAAATCCCCCTGTATGAAGGGGCCCTGGGACACACAAATAGATACACACAAATAAACAGATCCCCCATATTTTCCTATATTTTCTGGGTTTTTGTCTCCCCCACCACTTCCCATATGTTCCCATATTTTCCAGGAAATCGAAGATTAATTGTGTCTGTGTGTTTCTTTCCCTCCTGACTGTAGGGGGCCACGCCCGACGTAAAACTATAAGAGCTAGGACCAGGCGGCAGGGCTGCGGCAGGGCACCGGCGGCCTCGCGCCCATCGCCGCGCGAAGAGGCGCTGCGCGCGGCCGCCTCCGCGCCCCCGCGCCCCCGCCCTGGAGAAGAGCAGCTCTCCGGCCGAAGCCGCAGCGCGCGCAGCGCGGTCATCTGCGCGCCCTCCGCCGGGGGGCCTGGGATGCTCACACGAAGCCAGGCTGAAGGCAAAATCGGGTGAGGACACATCGAGAATCTCGGAGACCCCGCGGCTCTGGAGGATGTCTCGGGCGCCGCGGCCTTCTCAGAGCGTCCCGGAGCACTCTGAGAACTTCACCCTCGTCCTCTACACCGTCCGACGAACGGCTTGAATCAAGTCAAGGCCGAAGTGCTGCGTCAGCTTCGGCAACGGGAGGCCGCTTCTGCGCCCAGGGGCCGTCAGAAGCCATCCGGACGGGAGACTGGCCCCACATTGAACAGATCACAGCATCGGAGGTCTGGGTCTCACCTCAGCGCGTCTGGCGGACTTCATCGTGGGCGCAGTGGCACACCCGAGTCTGCTTCGCTGTCCGTCGTCCTCGTCCTCGTCCACCCCACCCCCCTCCCTTCCGATTATTGTTCTGTCCAGGTCGCTCGCAGCCCGCCTGCAAGATCGTTGGGATGACGGTGAAGAAAAAAGCGGAGTGGCGATAACACAACATGACATCTGCCGTTGGGAAAGGCTTTGGAGAGGACGACCATACATTCTCAATGACGACGACGACGACGACGGCGACGACGACGGCGACGGCGACGGCGACGGCGACGGCGACGACGACGCCCACGAGCAGGCCCAGAACCCCACTCAGTCACCACCGCCCAGGGCACGGTCAGCGCGGACCGCCGTTAGGTGAGCCCCGACCGCGAATGCCGTGCTCCGCTCTTCGATGAGACGGGCGGCGCCCCAAGGGCCTCCGCCTGGCCGCGTCGGGGACGCACCGGCCCAGGCCAGCACCGACCCAGGTCGGCCTATAGGCCCTGTCGCGCAGCCCAGCCCGCCGCCAGGCGGCTCCCAAACCCGAGCCAGCGGAGGGCGGCAAGGGCGGCCCGCCAGCGGGGATCGGCTGACCCCGGTGGCGCTGACCCCCGAGAGCGCCGAGCCCCGAGGCGAGGCGCCCCCGCGGGCGCCGGGGGAGGGGGCCGAGGCGGCGGCCGCCGCGGCGTGAGGGCGCCCAGCAGCCTCGGCGAGGCGAGGGGCGAGCCCGACCTGGCTGGCCGGGGGGGGGGCTCGGTGCTGCTTCCCATCTGCGTGCGTTCTGCTTTTGGGGGGGGAGCCTACGCGAGCAGCAGACCCTGACCCCCGTCTCGGCGCGCAACGCCGGCCCAGCCCGGCGACGGCGTCTTCGGCGCGAGGGCGCCCTCCAGGGCGTCCTGGAAGAATCTCGGCGACGAGTCTGTGGGCGAAGGTGGGGGGAGGGCCTGTCGGCTCTGGCCTACCACTGGTCTGTCACTGCCTCCTCGCTGCCTCCTCGGTCGCCCGCATCCCACATGGCGCTCCTCTCCGTCGCATGGTAGGCTCACTTCGCACGTCCCACTCGTGGCCCATCGCTGCGCCGCTGCGCTCGCGGCTGCAACGCCAAAAGGGGGAGCGAGGAGAAGGGAGGGTCCGCAGAGGGGCAAACCAGCAGGCCGCCTGTGTGTTCGACCCTGCGCTTGCCTCGTTCCTTCCCTGCCAGATCCAAAGCTGGCTCTGGACTCGCGGGCCTCCAGGTGCCCACCGCTTCTTTGTTCTCTTACGCCTGCCTTCGTAGGCTGAAGAAAAAAAAAACAGCATAACCATGAACTTTCGGATCTGCACTGAAACCCCTCCCTGGGCGCGCGCGCCAGGGGCGGCGATGGAGTCGCCGCCAGGGGAGCCCAGCGCCGATCCGAGAAGTCCGCGCCAAGCTGTGAAAGTGCATGTTTTTCTGCTTCGAGTAAGGGTACACTGCTGGGTCCTGCTAGGGGAAGTCGCGCTTGAATCAGCGCGCCTCGAATCAAGGCGCAAGCAAAGCCCGTCATCGAGGGCGACGGCTGTGCTTGCGGAACAACTGCTTGTCTGCCAAGGGCGTGCTGGTCTCTCATGGGAGCGGCCGCCGTGGCCGTGATGGGGAGGACGCGGGAGAAGGCAAGGAGAGGAAGGGATAGTGAGGGGGAACGGAGCACGGAGGGCGGGAAGGCGGGAGGGGCGAGGGAGCGAGAGAGCGAGCAGGGAGGAAGCGAAGCAACGAGCAGGGAAGGAGAGAGGGAAGGAGGAGCTCCTCCTCCTCCTCCTCCTCCTCCTCCTCCACCTCCTTCTCCTCCTCCTCCTCTTCCTCCACTCCTCCTCCTTATAAATAACCTCTCCCTGTCGCACCCCGAGGCCGGTATTTAGGGCGGGCCAGGCGTTTCGTCTGAGACTTCCTCACCATGTATGACTCTGAAGCTAAAAATGTGGAAACAGTTTCACAGATGGAGGGCGGGTCGTTTTCAAAATGTTGTTCTCGTGTTAGCGCCGCGCACATTCGTTTTCAAAAGTTGCAAGAGTTTCACGGATTGAGGGCGGGTGATTTTCAAACTGTGGCTCTCGTTTGAGCGCCGCGTACATCTTTCATGTAAGAAATTGCAAGAGCTTCACTGAATGAGGGCGGGGGGGGTCAAAATGTGGCTCTGGCCTTTAGCGCCGCGCACATTCGTTTCAGAAGTTTGCAAAGAGTTTCACGGATTGAGAGCGTCTCCTGGTCAAAATGTGGCTCTCGCCTAAGCGCCGGGCACATTTCTATATTTAAAATTACAAGAGCTTCACGGATGGAGGGCGGGTCGTTTTCAACATGTTGCTTTCGCTTTAGTGCCGCGCACATTTGTTTGAAAAACTCGCAAGAGTTTCACGGATTGAAGGCGGCTTCTTTTCAAAATGTGGCTCTCGCCTTAGCGCCACGCACATTCGTGTGTTTACTAAATGATACCGGAGAAAAACCCAATCAGGGCTATAGGACTAGGGGGCTATAAAGCTATTGAGCTATAGGGCTATAGAGCTATAGGGCTATAGAGTTGTAGGGCTATAGGGCTAATTATTGGGCTATTGGGCTATTGGGCTATAGGGCACCCCCGGGCACACCCAGGCACCCCCGGGCACCCCCAGGCACCCCCGGGCACGCCCGCGGGCACCAGCTGGGCGCCCGGGCACCCGGGCGTGCGTGCAGCGAAAATCGGCGGCAAATCTAATCTAACCACATGAATATTGAGCTATAGGGCTATGGAGCTTAGGTCTATAGAGTTGTAGGGCTATAGGGCTATTGGGCTACTGGGCTATAGGGCACCTCCGGGCACCCCCAGGCACCCCCGGGCACGCCCGGGCACCCCGGCACCAGGGCACCCGGGCACCTGCAGGGCACCCCCAGGCACGCCCGGGCATGCCCGGGCGTGCCTGGGGCACCCCCGGGCACCCGGGCACCCCCGGGCACCCCCGGGCACCCCCGGGCACCCCTGGGCACCCCCAGGCACCCCCAGGCACCC